CAAAGGAACAGACGGAGAGACCAACAGGCAGGCGACAGATAGCAATGCAAAATTATAAACGATCTCTAGGATCGTTAATAAACGGCAAAAGGGTAAAATTATGGAACATGTAAAAAACGGTTTTTTGTTTTTTTTTACAATAACTTTTTTTGTAAGCGGTACAGAAAAATTTCCTTCCTTGGTACAAGACTCGACACCATAACGAACCAAATAGCGAAAAAAGTAGAACAATAGCTCTTAAGATAAAAAACTAGTAGCGTCGCAAAGTTAGCGGACGGGCGGACGGNACCTTATAGTGTTTTTATTCAATGGTATAGGGAAATGTTGTATGACGTAGATTTTCATGTAGATTTAGAAAATGCAATAAAATACAGGGTGTTGTATTTAAAATAAGAAAGTTGCCATCCACATCCGGTAAAACAGGAGTCCGGAAGAGAAACAATCGTGATTATATTTTGTTTCGACTATGCCAGTATGCAAATGTTCAGATTTAAATTATCAGTGAGAGCCTGCATACTTGGTTTTCGTGAAACAGCCAGTATATATAATAATGAGCACATAGGATTCAGTTTTATCCAACTGCTGATTAATTTTTTTTTTCATGAATATGTCTGCATGTAAAATAAGAACAGTGCACAATTCCTACAGAAACAAAGGAGAGCAAAACCGAAGATATTATCTATCGACTCTTGATTCTAAAAACCATAAAGTGCGAAAAAAGCGTTGATGTTTCCGAGATTGCGATCCTACCTAAAAGTTTTAGCTAGCTACGAATAGTGAGGTAATAACACAGTTGAATACTAAGTTTGGACATATGCTCTGAGATTGTGGTTTTGACGTTTAACTTGTTACAAAGACGTACTTTTACACAACTGTACTTGTATGTAGAATTGTAGAAAATATGTTTTGTGTTTTCACGGATTTTCTCATATTAATTATATTAAAAGCTCCTATGAGCAAATTATTTCCCATCTTTGCCTATGTTTTTGGCTATACTTTGCACTCTTAAGCGAAATAGGAAAGATATGCAAAATCATTTTAAATACAATTTGTTTTGTACACATACATACATTGAATTTAATTCCACAATAAACGTCTAGTCTAAATTGTGATTACAAGATTTAAAAATCAATTTGTATTCTATAATAGACTTCCTGCAGATGATTCGTATTACCATCTATAAAAATATTGCCACATTATATAGTGTTCATAGAGGAGTGATCGCATTTTTATTACCACTGTTTTCTAGTAACTCGTACAACGTGCTCAGTACCCTATTCTATAAAAAGTGGTCTTTAAGCTTTTTGACGTTTTCTTATATCCGTTGCTTCGATTGACGTCCAAAATTGGATTATTCACAAAACACAGTCCCAAAACAAACGCTTTGTTAGTTACTAAGTAGTTGAATTCAAAGTAAAAAACGGTCCTCTGTTATAAGTTTAGGCGGATATCCGCTTTAATAACCTGCCTTTGTAGAATATTTATGAGTGATTGAGAGCGTTATTGACAATTTTGATCAAACCTTCAAACGGAAAACCATGTTTGCAAGATGGATTCTCAACGATAACAAAATAAACTTCCTTTTCACAGTCGAAAATGACCCAATTACGTTAATAATGAGAAGTTCCAAGCGTGTTTTTCTCCAATTATGTTTATTTATCTACCATAACCTAATTTGGCATCATGCGCGCATGCATATCAATCAAGAATCACTTCAATGTGAAGTAGTTGCTTTTCCATTTACTCGAAAAGCGCATCAAAGGTCATCCAGATTGAGCACTCATTGCACACCCACTTATTGCAAGCCTGCTTTAGGTACTTGACCGACACATTAGCCAATTACCTAATCCTTACTGTTATACATATAAGTAATGCTTGGGAAAATACAAGACCTGCTCTCAGATTTCAAAAACTAATGAAAAAAACTGAAGACTGTGATATCAAATACAATATTAAAAAAATACCTACAGTAAATTGTTTACGCATCCTGTATTTATGACAATTATGACTTCAAATTAACAAATTGAATTCATCTTCTGGCCTTAAATGAAATTTTGTATGTAGACACCTCGAACAAAAGTAAAACTAATGCCGAATCGAAATAGTATACCGTATTAAGATACAAGTGTATAATCAAGTCTTTAAAGCACGCGAAACGAGTTTAAGAGCACGATGCGCAGCGGAGTGCCTTTAACATTGCAAGTGCTTTAAAGACCAATTATACACGTGTATCTTATAGTATTTTTTTATTATACCTGCAGTATAATCTAAAAATAGGAAATACAATGAAGTCATATTGACGTTATACTCGAATACATGTCTAATTAAGTGGGCTGGGTGTACGTAATTTCACGATTGCCATGGAAATGTCACTTGACGTTTGCTTATAAAAATCATCCTCTTTGTGAATAAAACGATTTCCGATGAAAAAGATAATACACCGTCCATTAACTAGGTTGTTGTAAAATCTAAACAAATCTACTGGTCGGTGTAAAATCCAAATCCAGTAAAGCCTATTATAAAGGATATGAAAAGCTGTTTCCATGGATGAATAGGAAGTTACTTCGAATAAAGTCTTAAATGCATCGATAATGCTGGCATATATGAAGGAAATGTCAAAGTTATTTAAATCTTCTATCTTTTGGTGCATTCATTCAAAACTTCAAACAATGCTGCGATTAAAAAGTGGAACAGATTTGGAAGTATACCCTAAATTAGGGGCGTTTGTGAAAGCTTCAACCAAAGGATAGGTACAAACGGAATAAAAAACCGCATGATAAGGTACCAATGGTTTAAGTATTGAAATGGATAGTGCATAAGATAGCAAAATAATAACCGCTCGTCTGCCGCTGGTAAGTGGTCACCCGTAAGCCCTATTATAAAATGAATTTTGAAAAAATAGACTCACAAACTCGTTATTAGTACCAAGTTGAAATATGTGTTAAAACATGCGGTAACATCATTAGTAAACAAAACCAAATTGGCAGACGCGTTAGTTGGTAGCATTTTTGAGGCAGACGCAATCCGAGACGTCGAAAATCACTCAGAATCGCGTGATCGAGTACCGGTTTAAAAGTTGTGTTAAAATGTGTTGTGCTTAATCGATACCTGAAGTGAAAATTTGAAAAGACGGTAGCACCTTCATAGCAGACGCAGTTAAATATTTTCATGCCATCTCGTTTCGGCGCGTATACTGGTACGCGGTAGAGTGAGACGCTTGCGGTGTGGCGATCTAATACGCATAGCTCACAACAACAGTGATGTCGTCCAAGAGTCAATCGAAAATTGTGCGATTAATGAAATAATTCCTAGGGAAGAATTTTTCGCCAATCTCTTCTTTATATCATTATAAAGTACGATAAAAATGTCTTCCCAAATTTTGACCCGGAAATATGTTATTTTTTTATATTAATCCCAAAAAAACGGGTTTTATTTATAATTTTTCAATATAAGACAGAAACTAGTAGGCACTTTTACATAAAAAATATCGCTATAAGAAACTGAAATGTATGTATGTTGGCTAATACATTGGTTGACGTAAGTCGAAGAGGTCAATAGGTTGTATGTGCACTGTTTATTATAACAAAGGAACATGTGTGGCATACCTATGCGGACATAAATTTTTGTAAATTTCAATTAAATCAACTGGACCTTGGACAATATTGATTGATAATAATTGTAAATATTCAGTATTCAATATTCAATATCGTTCATCAATTCTGCATCCTCCAGGTACACCCAGAATTAGTACCGCTTGTAATAAAACATAAGAAAGGTATTTCAAGGATGATACAAATTCTTACCTTCATGCGTACGTACTGTACTGTGAGAGGATTAAATACACAGATTTATTATATCACGCACCTTCTCCTAGACTGAGATCTTCTAGATGATAGTTGTAGTACTCTAAATTTAATGTTCGTCATCTGCCAGTTCTTTTATTGGAAGTAGCACAAAGATAAGGTAAATTAAAGACATCATCGAGTTATTTATTATAGGTATAAGTATTCCTTAATTCACAATTTGTAAATGAACTCTTTCATTTAAAATCCTCACAATGATTTTACAATAAATGCGGCATATAGAAGAGACAATTAGAAAGCGTACGAGCGTTACAGAATAGTCAAATGGCATTTTATACCAACACGGAAAACTTTATGCTCAAAAATATTGTTCGAATGTATGCGCATTAGTCAGAACCAATTTGAATAACTCATCATCTGAACAAACAGGCAACAAACACTATGGTCAAATTGCTTCTAACCTCGATCAGGGTTGCATCGAAGCACAGACTCGAGGTCTTACGTGGTTTCTAAAGTCTACCACAGAATCGAGGTTCAGGTGATTCTGAATAAAAATACTAAGCGAGTCGTTTGCATTGTTACGAACTGCCCTTCATCTAAGTCAAAGCGACACACAACACACTCGCATATAAGCAAAGGCAGCCTGTTACAACAGGATGTTACGCGTTCTAAATTATCCTGGGATGGGGACATGGGTGCCTGAAACGAAGTTAGGTTTCTTTAGACGTAGACCATGGTGCCAAGTTTTCTGACACTTAGTTAGGTATCGCCTTGCACATTGCGATCTCCAGACTTATCACCAATACGCCATAGAATACAGTGGTTTTTTTCTGGATTTACTCTACTCAGCCTTACTAACATTAAATGCTGTTCAACAGGCAATTTGGTTGCCTGGGAACATACCTCAAGAAGACAATACTTCAATCGAATCTTGCACCTGAACGTCCACATCAACATTGAAAACAATTTAAGACCTAATCACTGGGGTTACCAACTTTTTAAAATTATTACTCATAAACGGAACAATTTACGTTTACTAATTTGCAACGAGCGATTCCTTAGTTGGTGTTGCATTTTCAATGTCACAGAGTAGAGTATAGGTCAGGGTCGTCTTTGCATAACAAAACTTTGCTCCTTTATTTACTTAGAAAAATAAGATTATTTAATCACTTCGTGATATTAAGGTTTTTTATCAACTACGTATCATCATAGGTTTTATTAGTGTCATATCATATAAAAATAGAAATAAAATCTCATGACTCAGCTGCTACAATAATACAAAAACTAACCTATTCAATGATAACAATGAGCACGAATTTAATCGGAAGTTCCAAATACGTCGCCAGTGACCTTCAAACTTGGATCTTATGAAAATGGGTTTCACAGTCTTGTAGGCGTTTTATATGATGAATGAGTTAGTGATATCTAGGGCAGAGGGCCTGCAAAGAAAGGTCTGGTTTCGATGGGTCGAATCGGACGCACAAATATTGGAACAACGTCATTTACACCAAATCTTGGCCTCAAGTCATGATAATAATCTCGAAAAGCAGAATTAACTGGTAGTTGTTCCATCAATCTTTGAACATTTTCTGCAGGGATTCTGTTTTGTTGCACTTGAGAGTTTTGGTGCGATACACCTTGAGGATTTCTTTGTCTTTCAATGTGTTCAGCATTAAGATACCAATAAGGGATGTTTTGCCTAGGCCATTCCTTTATTCTATGAACCAAATCTGCATCACCACGGGCATCAACAGGTATTTTTTCCGTCGTACCATCTACTTCCCCTAAACGAGAGTTCAAAATTGCAGCAGTTGTTTCTTCGTTGTCATTCCGAAATCTACTAGCCAATTTGGGGTAGGTAGGTTCCGCAATGTAACCCGGCCGTTGTGCCATTGTTATGGAAACTAGCGTCGCCACAATAACTACAATCTGGAATTAAATGATTAGACATAAAATTACATTAATTCACAATCCCAACTCACCATTTTATTTAAATCGTGCGACCGTAAAAATATAGGTACCTAATTCAGATTTGAGCACGTCTAAGTTCACGAACGAATATGAGGAAAACTCGTTGTTTCATATTTATGTATGAGAACCTCCTCCGTTTGTTGTGGTAAACAGGAAACCGTCATGTTTGGGTAAAACCCAAGTGTAAATCGAGAGGATATCGGCAATAACCACATTCTATTACTTTTATCAGTAACGATTCATGACTTTAAATATAAATTTACACTTTTGCACCAGTCACTGTATTGAGAATTATTACACATCTTTACTGCGTCTAAGTAATCCTACGAAAATGGGGATCTTGAACTCGCGTCAATGGAAAAAACAATTTGCTATACTGACAGATGGGGAATGAAATGACAAGAAAAAATGAGCTGTGATAAAATTAGGTCGCTGTCCCTTACACAAATCTTTTGGAAAACACTCCGTTATTACGCTGTCGTAATAATTCGAGAATCATTATCAGTAATTTTCTATTCATATACTTACAGACAGGGTCCGTGAAGTTGGAGTGTCGACTTGAAATGGATCCAATAATTTTGTGCTCATTTTGTGCTAATGTGTGCTGCTAATTTAAAAAAGTGTACGAAACTCGTATTTAATGGCTAATAAGGCACTCATATTCCTTACGAAACTCGCCAAGGCTCGTTTCGTAGTTCTCATACTCTTGTCTTATTAATAGCCATCATTAAATGCTCATTGTATAATATACTGTTAAATCGTTTTACTAAAATGGCAATATGTTTGTTGGGGAAATTGTTCGAATGAAACAAATCCTATTATGTGAGGATCTTGTCCGTCCGTTTGTCCATCTGTTACCGTCTAACTCGAGAACGAAAAGAGACAGCGATGTCAAACCTTCGCCAATGGATGTCTACAAGTTCAACGATCAGTGCTATTGAATATGAGCCGGATTAGAAATCGTGTTTCCGAATGCGAGCTTGGTGTTAAAAATCCCTCTACTGAAAATCGTATGCGACTCGTCGTATCTTGTTTTGCTTGTTACGTTGACTTTGAGCAAACGTAACAAAACGACCGCGAAATAAGCACACCAGTGAGCTCAGGCAAAGTAGAGATGGGTCGGGGTGAATGATGGGGTTCTGTACACTAGCAAAAATGAAGGATAGTCTCCATTTAATCTCTACTAACTCTCAAAAGAGAAAGGAGAATACTCACATAAGGGGAAACAAGGCAGACTAGGATACCCTTGTTCTGGTCTTGATAAGCTAAAGACAATTGACAGGGATAGAACATAAACAAGAATCGGTGTCACAGTCGAGGGTAATTTAATAAATGATCTCACAATATGGACACTGTCCTTTGGTCACAATTCATTCGATATACTCATATGTGATACAACTCTAGCAAAAATAAAAAAGTTTCTCGCGTGGTGAATTTTACTCTGCGCGGATAATTAATGCGCGATTTTATAGGGCCTGTTACAACTGCACTAATACCAGGTTAGTTATGTTATATTAGTTATTATATACTTTTTAAGATGCCGAAAGAATTGTAAAGATGTCGTTCATAGACAAAGAAATATGATGATGTAAAGATAGAAGAACAAGGATTTACTATCAGCGATTTATCTTCAAAGACTTAAAATACTGATTTTTGTAATTTCGTGATCAAAGGCGCTTTCTTTCGGCTACTTCGCAATCATGATTACAAGATCGTGATTCGTAGGATCGCGTTTTACGAAAGAACGCGCGAATTTATATCAAAGTTTGGTTAAGTTTACAGAGTACACATTTGAATTCGAATTACGTATTTTTTTTTTTGGATTATGAAAATAATTTAAGTACAAGTGGAAATACTTGCACGATAATGCTCCTTTTCAGTTACAAATATCGACTAACCTAACATTTGTGCAAAAATATCATTGCATTTATAGGTTAGGAATCCGTGATCATAAAACTTTTATGTTCATTTTGTTCAGGATTTTAGCAATCATGATCATAAGATCACACTTCGAAAGAACGTGATTTGACAATTCAAACGCGTTTGGATCACCGAAAGAAAGCGCCTCAAATACTTATATTTAGTTGTCGTTTTCAGTTTTAAAAAAGCCGTCATTTAGCCACAACTGTCACATTTTGACACATTGCCGAACATTGGCGTACTGGTACATTAGTCTCACACTACCTACACGACTCTCAATAATTTCCTGAACTCATCAGGTAAATCCTATACTACAACCGTAGTTAATACCATTGAATAAAAACACTATAAGAAGCCTAACCCCGTGGAAATAAAGCGCGACAGAGATTGAACTGAGAATATAATGGGAACACTGTCAATAGTGTCGATTCTTGAACTGAGAAGAATGAGAATTTGCTTTCCTCCTATTTACCGCAAAGAGAGTTCGGCGGTCACAACCAATGCGGGTGCAAGGGGATTTGTCGCGCTTTCTTCCATAAGCGAGGCTTCTTATAGTGTTTTTATTCAATGTTAATACTCAATATGAAATATGAATCAATAATAATGACTTTACAGTAGCAAAAGCAAACTGTTAACTCGAGCACGGATGGTCCGTACAAATCGGTGTATAAACGCCATGAACGTGACGTTAACTCAAGAAAAACTACTTTAAGATGCACAAATAATCCAATACCGGATAAATATAAAAAATCGGTGTCGACCGTTTAAATCTTCACTACAGTTTACGTAAGAAGAATATTCCGCACTGCGTAGTGCCCATTGCTAAATTGCAAGCGCGTAGTTGGCGCCAGACTCGAAACTCATTTTATTGTCGCGAGTAAAATTCGATCTTGACTCGCAGCTTTATATGAGAGACCTTGACCGCATTTCGTCTTCACTCCGCGGCAACAGCACATTCAGGCAGACGTTTGATTTTCGTGAATAATATTAATACGGGTTTTGTTTTGTAAGTGAAGTTCAATCAGCAAACAGAGTTACTTGCGTTCACCAAATTTTGGATATTACCTATGTGGCTTTAAATCATATAATCAAACGCTTAATTAAACATGTATTCGAGTATAACGTCATTTCATTGTATTTCCTATTTTTAAATTATACTGCAGGTATAATAAAAAATACTATAAGATACACGTGTATAATTGGTATTTGAAGCACTTGCAACGTTAAAGGCACTCCGCTTCGCGTCACCACCATTTTGCCTACCCCTAGAATCCACAACCATGTGCCTGTAACACAATCCGTACAAGTCCTCTACAACTGTTAGAATATATTCACACTTGTAACTTTTTCATAACACAACGCATTATGCATATATTTTACCCACGGTATACATATACAGAATTCAGTAGGACTTGTATTAGTTACAGGCAGATTACCTTGTAACTTGCAGACTTGTTACAATTGTATAGTTTGTGTTATAGGCCCCAGGTTAGTTAGAAAAAGCAGATTTGTAAAAGGATTTTGAACTACATCTTTATAATCTGTGCAATTAGTAATCAAAGTATATTATCGTAAGAAATCCAAAGAACCAGAATATAAAGGGGTTGTCAACCAAAATCACTTTAGTGTATGTAAAAGTCACTCTGCTGCTTTTACAGTAGAGGTTTCCCTATTCTAAATAATCATAAAAAGTTTGGCCTTGCAATCGAGGTTGGTATTTAAACCGATTAAATTTGTGTTGTTGCAATTCAAATCTGTTTCCTTTGAGCAATTTCTCGAAAAACTGTCAACCTAGGTACTATATTAGCATAGTTTGTGTTATATTATGGTATTAGTTAGACAGTTTTTCTCGTCTAATTGCTAGGCAACAGATTTTCATTACCTAAATAACCCAAGTTAACGTGGTAAAATACAAACATCTTGTGCAATTATAAGTGGGAAACCATATAAATCATTATAAAACTTCTGAACATTCTGAATTTAATTTAGACGTCAAAAATTGCAAGCTTATAGGTTCTCCCGTGGACTCCATGGAAACAATATTGTTCTCAATTCTGAACTTCATATACTTTTTTCAGTAGATAAAGTACCTACCCATCTTCGCTTCTGGAATTAAATAGAAGTTATGTCGTTGGTATGTCTGTAGTCTATACACAAAACTAAATTGCAACGTATTAGTTTAGATACTAATGCCACTAATAGAAAGAACAAAGCAGCTTCAAAAAGTATTGCAAGATATTACTCATGCCTACCGAATAAAACAAGTTCATTGTCCTGTTTGGTTGCTCAAATCCGAGCTCAAATCTTTGTATACTAAATTAAACCACGAACAGCTAAATATATCCAGGAGTTTAAGAGAACTCATCAGTCATTATTGCCTGCGGTTTGATAATAATCGATGATACTACATTCGGGCTCCGTGAAGTAGGCACGCCATTCTAGATTCAATTCTTGAATTTATCATAAAATGTTTGTACGTCGTTTGTATCGTTTGTACTGACTTTAAAAAAATTAGCACCCCCAAGCATTACAGAGTTATGCGAAATTGAAAAAGGCGTGCGTACTTCACACCTAGCACGCCTTTTTGAAATACAAATCAAGAAACCTGTTTCAAAAGTTAGTATTACGTCTGTATCATTTGAACTTATAAACAAAAGATTAACACCCCCAACCCTTATCGAATTATTTGATATTAAAAAAGGCGTGCGTACTTCACACCTAGCACGCCTTTTTGAAATACAAATCAAAAAACCTGTTTCAAAAGTTAGTATTACGTATGTATTATTTGAACTTATAAACAAAACATTAACACCCCCAACCCTTATCGAATTATTTGATATTAAAAAAGGCGTGCGTACTTCACACCTAGCACGCCTTTTAAAAATACAAATCAGAAAATCTGTTTCAAAAGTTAGTATTACGTTTGTATTATTTGAACTTATAAACAAAACATTAACACCCCCAACCCTTATCGAATTATTTTTGATATTAAAAAAGGCGTGCGTACTTCACACCTAGCACGCCTTTTAAAAATACAAATCAGAAAAGCTGTTTCAAAAGTTAGTATTACGTTTGTATTATTTGAACTTATAAACAAAACATTAACACCCCCAACCCTTATCGAATTATTTGATATTAAAAAAGGCGTGCGTACTTCACACCTAGCACGCCTTTTAAAAATACAAGTCAGTAAAGCTGTTTCAAAAATTAGCATTACGTTTGTGTGATTAGAACTTATAAGCAAAACATTAACACCCCCAACCTTTATCAAATTATTTC